CCCCCCCCCCGCCCCGCGCGCAGGCCCCGCCTACCACGCCCCTGAAGGGGCGGAGGGGAAAAAGCAGCGACCACGTGACCCCGCGACCCCGGCCCGTCCCAGCCTCCCAGCGGCTCGGCGCATGCGCAGTACCTCCTTGTGAGGGAGGAGAAAAGATGGCGGAAGCGGGGTGAGGGATCCGCCGCGTCTGCGGCTGTGCGGCCCGGCCCGGCCTTAGAGAGGCTCCGGGGCGGCGGACAGCGCCCAGCTCGGGCGCGAAGGAGGGTGCGAGCGGCCGGGCCCCGCGCTGGGCGCCCACCTGACTCGCTCGCTTGTCGCTTAAGCGGCTCAGCGGCCTGTGCCACATTACGTGTATCGTGCCATTCCCCGGGGAAGCGCGCAATGAATGGGACCCAGCCGTGCGCGCAAAGGAACTGTCGCAGGAGAAAAATGACTGTCCAGCTCTAAAAAGAGCCGGCCCATTACAAGTTAGTGCTTGACAAGGTGTAACAACTCCCTAGCTGGTTGCCGTGCAGTTTTCCTTCGCAGGTGTGCTTCGCACTGTCTCTGCTTTGGGTGAAGAGCCCTGCGTTTTGCAGAGTAGCTTTCTCTCGTGTTTCTGCAGTTCGAGATCATCGGTGGAAGAATATCCTCAGTTGTAGGGCAGGGCAAAGGGGGTTGCATTGCAGGAGGAGATGTTTAAGGACGTCCGACTGGGCCAGCCCCGTTGGTTCAATTTAGCCCTGTGCTGTTGCATGTTACATCATTGTCCAGTTTGTAAATGTATAAGCCTGGTCTTAAAACTCATTAGGGTTTGTTCTTCTTTCCTTTAAAGCTTCAAAAATACATGATCGAGTGGAAGTATTCAGAAATGTAACTATTGCTGAGAGAGCACCATATATGAATGGTACTTTTTTTTCTTTATTTACAAGATGCCCTGTGATGACTTGTCAAAGAGAATCGAATCAGTTTTATAATTGTTATTCTTCAATAGGGAGATGTTATCCATGAGTCACAAAATACTCACCTGCTGA